TCTCTCTCTCTCTCTCTCTCTCTCTCTCTCTCTCTCTCTCTCTCTCTCTCTCTCTCTCTCTCTCTCTCTCTCTCTCTCTCTCTCTCTCTCTCTCTCTCTCTCTCTCTCTCTCTCATGTTGACTATTTTGATAAAAAAAATTCAAACATCACCACCACCATCCTCCATCCTTCGTTTCCATTCTTCGACAACAAACACATCCCTCCCCAATTCATATTCTTCAGCCTTCAAACACCCAGACACCACCAAATCATACACTAACCTTATAAAATACCATTAACAACCATATTTCAACTCCATTTATCCATCTCCTCACAACATCATTGCACCATAATCCTCCATACACGAACCATAACATCTCTTTATAAACTAATTAAAAAAACACAATTCACACAACAACATAACTCAAATTAAATACCAAAAATCAATAACAATATAAAATTCAAGTAGAGAAATTAGAACAAACTCAAGAAACTAAAATGTGTAAAATCAATTATGAAATGCACCCAGCCCACGCCGGAGTTCACTCGGCCCAAGCGAAGCCTCATTGCTCCGATCATGCCAGTCGCACTCCACCGTGACCATGCTGAAGCACCACCTTCAAGCATCTATTCGTACCCTAAGCACTAAGCCGTGAAACATCATGAAATCTATGCACCGCTGGAAATATGACAATCATTGTTGATAAGTCATTATCACCGTGAAATCACAATCATCATTGAAAGTCGTCGTATCCCACATCTCCGACACAGTAACTTTTGATTCACGACATGATTATTTTATTGTTTATGGTTTAGGGATTTTTTAAATGAGGGATTTGATTTCCGTTATTGATTTTGGTTTGTTTCATGGAGGAAGAGAATCTCCATTGCATTTTTTACTCTTCATTTTGATTTCTGATAGAGAGTGTGTTGTTTGCTGTGAACATAAATGGTGAGAATGAGAGACGTGAGAACAATGAAGAAAGATTCTGATTTCTCTCCATTTCCATGTTTTTTATTTTAATTTTAATTTTAATAAAAGTGACCATGTGTCGCTGTGTTACTAGTTTTTGGATTTAATTTTGGGGATGATTCTGTACAGGACATCCCCATGGTATCAATATGGGTCTAGCCTCAGCTACCATTTAATTAAGATCACGTGGCTTGAGGAAATGTTATTGGGTCTGACTGACTGGGCTTGGGAAGGCCTTAAGTCTTGCGCCACACTCTCAATTTCACACCCCTTTGTGTTTTTTCTAGTCTTGAGCCTTAAGCCCATTTATTCTTTCTTATCCATCATTCACTTATGTACGCACCATTATTTTATTTAATTGTGTCATTTGTATATTTAATTTCCTTATTAAGTTTATAAATTGGCTAAATAATTAACATTGATAAAATAAATGTATGAGAAAATGAACAGGCCTTTGGTCAATAGTTTTTTATTCAAATTCAATCCACTACTTATTTTTTTTCTTTCAAAACTTAGATGAAAAATCATCTATTAGATGTATATCATTGTGATCCCTGAGTGTTTGGATACAAGTTGTATAACTTGCCTTTCAAACACTTGTCTTTTTCTCAAAACGTAATAACGCAATAAAATTAAATATGTTCTTTCACTAATGAAAAATGATCTATTGGGTGTATATCCATGATCTTCGAGTACTTGGATACAAATTGTATAGCTTGCCTTTTAAGTACTTGACATCTTCAAAGAACCCAGACTTAATTCTCACAAACCTCTTTTTCAAACTGAACGAGAAAGGACCTATTGGATGTATATCTATGAATCCCCGAGTATTCAGATACAAGTCACATAAACCTTTTTCATAAACGATTTATATTTTATCCATTCCGACATGAAGCACAAACGAACACTTTAACCCTTCCATGCGCGAGTAGCAAACAACATTTTCTGCTCTAATGCAATGAAAACATAATCTGAGAGAGTTTGGATCATGTTATCCATTATGAAGCGAAGAAAACAACGTTCCCTACTCCCTTATGTGGCTAGCAAGTAATTTTTTCCACTTGAATACAACTTAAACATATTTCCCTGAAATCGAACAACCAATAAATGTTTGCTACTCAGAACTACGTAGTTTTGAGTTCTCCATCATACATGGGAATATGTAGGAGCGAAATTGAATTACTCGTCAAACACCCTAATAAAAAATATTTTTTTAGTTCTTTTGTTTTCATGTAAATACTTTTGAAAAAAAAGAAGAAACTCAAACACTTTAAAACTAACACTCACATTCGCAAAACTAGCTAAACGGTTATAATTGGATACAACAGATGTGTGAAGTACTAATACCTTATCTGCACATAATCGACTTCCGAACCTGAATTTGATTGTGATGACCATGTTTTTGTTCTTTAAGGGTTTTATCGACGTTTCCCTTTTAAAAATAAAACTTCGGTGACAACTCTTGCTTGTTTAGAGCGCTCGTTCGCTCGATTATTTTCACATCGCGACAATAATAACTATAATTATTTGCATATCTATTTTAGGAACCTTTTCATATTTTGTCATATTCAGTCAATGCTGATAATTGTTGAAGTCATTGGTGATATATTTTCAACTATTTGTTGATGGTGATTAATTTAAAAATATCTCAAGTCTCATTAAATAGAAGATTCAAGGTTCTAATAAAGTGTTTATATGATTGATTTATCTTGCAAAGGAACTCGAAAGTTTTAGAGTTATGAAAGAGCGGAAGTGTGAAAGTTCGTCGTTGTGTGAGTGACCGGAGTCTTGTGAAAGTAGAAGAACAACTCCTACGATACTAAAACTCTATTTGGTAAAAATAGTGGTTGACTGATAAGTTAGCTGATAACTTATAACTTATGGTTGATGGCTAATGATTGATAGCTTATAACTTATATCTGATAATTGATGATTGATAGCGAATAACCTAATTGAAGCATTTGATAAAATCAACGGTTTAACTAGCTGATAAATATAAAATGACATAATCGTTTGATATTCAAAGCATTTAATACATAATTGTTTTATTTTAAATAAAAAATATTACAATGGGTAAAAGTACATTTTAATTAAAATAATAAAGATAAAAGCAAAAGTAAAAAACGATAAGGTATAAACTATAAGTTAAAATGCTATTTGAAATAGCGTTTGAAAAAATAGACCATAAGATAGTAAAATAAGCTATAAGCTCATAATGAAAAGATCGTTATCAAACAAGTCTTTTATTTGTTATATGAGCTTATAAGCTATACGCTTAAAATATGTCATGCCAAACAAGGCTTAAGGCAACTCACACACACCTAAAATAATTTTAAGGCATCTCTTTATTTAATAAAATCACCTAAAAATATTTTAGGGCCTAGCCAACTGATTAGAAGAGTGTCTTATTAATTGTAAGTCTTTTTAAAAATAAAATAATCGATTAGACCAATAACTTAATCGATTATATATTGCTGGGTTGAATTTAAAATTGATTGAGACTGTCTCTTAATGATTGATAGTGACTAAATATAAAAATCTTTTATTTATGACTTGAAAAATGGATTATTGATTGAGAATCAATAATCAATTAGCCTAATCAATTATCCCATTAATTTAGTTTATACATTGTTTCCTTTTTAGCCTTATTTTCTCAAATATATAAAAGAAGTTTATCCTCATTTCTAAATATACCAAAAATTCGAAACTTTTCTATTTCGTAATCCTTTATCACTCTTTTACTCTCTCTTTAATATTTTTCTTTTACTAAAATTGCCTTGATGCATTGTGAGTAAAAATTACCTATGAGAAAAAATGCTTGAATATCACTGTGTTCCATAGTCAGACTTCTCTAAAAATGCTCGATTATCACTGTGTTCCATAGTCAGACTTCTCTAAAAATGCTCGAATGTCATTGTGTTCTATAGTCAGATCTTCACCGGAGACTTTATTGTAAAAAAAAATAGTTGAGCATCTCCTTTGATAAGAGGAGCATTTGAATTGGTAAAATACTTCATTCTTGAAAAAATATTTGAGAGTGAAATTATAAAATAGATGTAAATGATCTGAAAATTAGAAGTTCACACATAGAACTATTTATAAAAAATTTAAAAATTATATAATATTCCACTGCTCAGCCAATGGATGACCGAACATCTTCATGCAATTATTGATGCATAATCGATAAAATTAAATTAATTAATAATATAAATAAAATATTAAAATTATATTAATTGATAATATAAATTAAATTTTACTCATATTTTTTATAAAATTGTATTAATTAATTAGAAAATTAAAATATTAATTAAAATGTTTTATTAGATTATAATATTAATTAAAACATTTATTTATTATTATTTAAAATATGAAAATCATTTTGTGACAATTATTTAAAATGACTTCTTCACCGAGATTATACATTTTGTGACATTTTAGTTTTTTTTTTCTTTTCAATATGGTGCCAGATTGAGAAAAAAAGTCAATATTTTAATTTGAATAAACCAAACTTTTGCAGTGGTAAGCAACCTAATACAACACAACATGGTGACAAATGAAAAACAAATGAGTATCTTCATCAGAACCATTGGATCATGTTACAGATACGCTGACGTGGAACATAGTAAAAATACAACGTCAGACACAATTGTAACTGTGACAGTGACACACACAGAGAGTGACACCAGTAAGAAGAAATCAATGAAGAAAGAGAACACAAGAGGAATTCACTCTTTTTCCCATTTATTTTTTCGAGATTTCACTTTCCTAACCTCAAAAAACCACACTTTCGTTTCCCCAATTCCAAACTCACAAAACCGCCATTCCATACTTCTTTGGATCTTCCTTTCTTTTTCTCTTTCTCTCTCTTCCTTTTTTTTTTCCTGCTTCAAGAGCTTTTGTATCGCATTCCTAACTTAGCCCACAAATTTTGACTCTTTGATTCAGTGGAATGCTAATGAAACTAAGATGAACAGTTTCCATTTCTGGGTTTTACTACTTTCTTTCTCTTCTTCCATCTCTGCTTAGTGTCAACCAGCAGGAGTTTTCATGGCAGCAAAGCGCGTGTACCAAGTTTGGAAAGGAAGTAATGTAAAGCTCTTTCCTTTTCACTGTCTTCCTTCTGTTTTTAGCTTATATTCCATTTGGGTATGCTCTAGATTTGTTGGTATATGATTTGTTATGCTTCATTTTGTAAGCTTTTGAATGTGGAAGTGAAATGGGTTTTTTAAGCTTCTAGTTAGGTGTGTGTTGAATGTTGAGATAGTAGTGGGGTGCTGAGATTGTGCTTTTTTGTTTTGTTGATTCTACAATTTTGAATAAGGAGCTGTTTCTATCATCTCTACTCATTGTAGCTGTTAGGTCTGTGTTTTGGGTGCAGGTTTTAGATTTGACATTTTTAGCTTTGGTTGATAATGATAAGTATTATTGAGGAAAGATGATATCCATGTCTGGTGTTTTGTGGTGATTTTGTGCTTTGTTCCAATCTCTGATTCTATCTTTTTTGAGCAATAAAGCATTTTGTTAATGCTGTATTCCTTTGGCTGATTTCAGAAGTGCTTTTGTTTGTCATGAACTATCTTCTGCTAATTGGTGCCTTCTTATCATAGCTCATGTTTTTCTCCTAAATCTTTTGCAGAAATTCATATTTGGAGGGAGATTGGCATTTGGACCTGATGCCAGATCCCTAGTTATCACTTTTTCGCTGATTATTGTTCCAGTGATCATCTTTTGTGCATTTGTAGCAAGGCATCTTCGGCATGAGTTTTCTTCATATTATTCAGGATATGCTATTTTAGTAGCTGCAATTCTCTTTACTATCCATGTAAGTTCTGTCTGATCTTTCCTTCATTATTATGAAAGATCTAGAGATTAACGATATGGATAGAAGCATGATTCTGGATAGAACGTTATGGCAAAAGTTGATCCATGTAGCCAACTCTACTTAGTGGGATAAGGCGTGGATGTTGTTGTTGTTGTGTTTGATATTTTATCCATTTATCTACAAATAAACCATCAACTTAATCCTTTAGCATATATTTCTAGGTCCTGGTGCTCCTCGGTCTTACTTCCGCACGCGATCCAGGTATTATTCCAAGGAATTCACATCCACCAGAAGAAGAGTTTCGATATGAGTCTTCCGGGGTAGCCGGACAACAAACGCCAACTCTTCAGTTCCCACGAACAAAAGAAGTAATGGTCAATGGCCGTCCTATAAAGGTGAAATATTGTGAAACTTGTATGCTGTATCGTCCTCCTCGTTGCTCGCATTGCTCCATATGCAACAACTGTGTTGAGCGTTTCGATCACCATTGCCCTTGGGTGGGCCAATGCATTGGACTGGTATGACGACAGTCACAAACTTGATACATGTTTTCTTCTTAGTTGATATTCTTTGGTTGTTTTTCGTTTGCTCTTGTTCTAATTTGTTTTCGGGCCATTCCAATGTGCAGAGGAACTATCGTTACTTCTTTCTGTTTGTTTCTTCCGCAACGATTCTGTGTGTCTATGTGTTTTCTCTCTCGGCTTATTACATCAAGATTCTGATGGATAATAATAACAATGGTACAGTGTGGAAGGCGATAAAAGAATCTCCTGCATCCGTGATATTAATGGCATATTGTTTCATCTCTCTATGGTTTGTTGGTGGACTAACCGGTTTTCACTTGTACCTTATAGGCTCAAACCAGGTCAGTCGATTTTTTTTACGATTCTGATTTCTATATCTTTTTTATACCTCATTCATCACCTAGATTAGTGCCCTTTGTTTTGCAGACAACCTATGAAAACTTCCGGCACAGAGCTGATGGAAGGATCAATGTTTTTAATCGAGGTTGTTTAAATAATTTTATGGAAGTGTTTTGCACAGAAATAAAGCCCTCTAGGAACAATTTCCGGGCTTTTGTTCAAGAGGAGGTGCAAAGGCCACTGACTCCAGTCTTTGCCCGGGGACATGAACAAGGCGATTTGAGTGGTGATCGTCGTCCTAAAGTTGAACATGATCTAGATATCGGCGAAGATCTATTGAAGATATCACAGCGTAGGAATATTGAAGAGCTCGACGAGGACATTCAGAGTAGAGGGAGCAATGGCGCACCCCATATTACAGCTGATCCCGATTCAATTTTGTCATCAGATCATCGAGCGACCACAATACGATCTGATGCTAGGCACTCGAGTTGGGAAAGAAGTGGAAACTGGGAAATCGCACAAGATGTCTTTGCGAATTCAAATGTCACAGAAAGCAGACAGCATGTCACATCAAAGGAAATGCGCCAATGACGAGCATGATTGGTCCTTATGATATATATTAATGACATGAAGCAGAAATGGTAAGAGATTCTTGGAAACTAAAGATGGAAAAGAAAAAGCTCCTTGATCATATTTTGAATTGGAGTTGAAGTAGTTGAAATATTGGTATAAAAACATAGCTTATCTATTGGGATGACATGAAAAATCTGTATTAGTAGTTGTTTAAGAGACAAAGTGTCTTGGTTATGTTTCTCCCCCATTTTTTAACTGTCCAATATGTGGATCTCATCTTTACTTGGCTTTATTCTTTGTGTAAATAATTAGTTGTGATACTGAAAAATCTTTGCTTTTCGTTATAGGCACCGTAAAAAGTGTATTATCCTTGTTGTTAATGTGATTACAGGTTTGTTGATATTTTAGAGAATTAAAGTTGACAGTTTTCTTCTTCTTATGGCTCTTATGGAATGAGGCTTTGATGATACAGTATGCTTTTTGAATTGATATTAATGGTGGAAGCAGAAAATCAATATTTCCTTAAGTAATTGCTGAGGGCAAACCAATTATAACTTAAACCAATTTTTAAAAATGATTTTTATAATGTAACCTATTTTAGTGTAAAAATTTTTTTATAAAACTTTTAAATAAAATTTTTATTTGAATAGTTATTTTATCAAAAAAATTTTTAGATATCAAAATTTTGAAAAATTAATTAATTTTGAAGCTATTTCAAATAACTTTTCATAAAAATAATTTTTGAGATACAATTTTTTTAAAAAATTATGATTTTAAATATGTTTTGATCTTCAATAAGTTATAATATATTAAAATTAATCTTTTAATTTATAAAAAATTTGTAATATTTTCAAAAAAATATTTTTTTATTCATTTTTCAAAATACAAAAAAAATCTCTTTTTAAAACTAAAACAGCCTAGTCCATAATCCATACAATTTGAAGGAGAAAATCATCATTTTCTTCTTTTCATTATCCTTCCCCCTATCTCCCTCTTCCACAGCCAGCCTAGAAAAGATTTATTTTCTTCTCAATTAATTCCCCGTATGAGTTGGTGGTATTGTTCAATGTAACGACCTGGGGTTGTAAAATGAAGAGCCTTAAATCTATTTCATCTCTTCAACCCACCGCCACCAATTTCACACTTCATGAATCATTCTCTTTCATGTGGTTTGCAAGTGTCCTACTCATAATAAGTGTAATAATATTTAACAACTCAAATATCGGTGAGATTAAGGAGATTAAGGATGGCAAAACGGACTCTCCATCCTGCTCTATTCCGTCTTAAATCTGTTAAAAAAAAGGTGAAGCGGGCAAGTCCGTCAAATAAAAATGGACAAAAAAATCTAACTCGACCGTCAAGGTGGCAGGTTGACGGGGGCGGACTTGCCCGTTTACCTTTTTATTAATTTTCTAAATAGATTAATAGATTTGTTTTTATATTTCAATTAGATTTTTTATTTTTTTAAAACAATTTTTATAAAACAACTTTTTAATAAACTTTACTTCAAAAAATATTACATATATTCTCAAATAAATGTATAAAATAAAACTATCAAGAATTGCGGCTATGCGCGAGATAGCAGACCCAAAATCTCAACCCAACCCATTATTCTTTAGCAGGTGCGCGAGGCGATCATGCGGTCCACGACCCGTTTTACCACTCTTAGGTGGGATGAAGTAGTAGTAAAGGTAAAGTTTTGTTATGTGAAAACCTAGAACCCATCATTTTAATTTATGAGAATTCAAAACAGAGTCCATCATTTTGTTATGTGAGAATCCACAACCTACTGTAACATTTATTATGTGAGAATCCATAACCTATCATTTTGTTCTATTAGAACCCATAACTTATCATTTTGTTCCGTACAAACCCATAACCCACCAACTGTAAAAAGTGTATTATCCTTGTTGTTAATGTGATTACAGGTTTGTTGATATTTTAGAGAATTAAAGTTGACAATTTTCTTCTTCTTATGGCTCTTAGGGAATGAGGCTTTGATAATACAGTATGCTTTTTGAATTCATCTTAATGGTTGAAGCAGAAAATCAATATTTCCTTAAGTAATTGCTGAGGGCAAACCAATTATATTATAACTTGTTACTTGCAAGTTGAAGTTAGTTATACTCTTGGCGCATGTTTGATTCAGTTTTTAAAGACAGAGAATTTATTATGAAATAGTTTTAAAATGTTTGTTTCTTATAAAATAGAATTGATTCTCTCATCCGAATTGATTCTATAATTTGTAATTTTTAAGTTTAAGTATTATTAAAATTTATTGATGAACTCACTTTTATATAAATACATTTGAATTCAAATTACTTCACAATTCACTTCAACTATTTTTTAATCATAATCAAATTTATAAAACATACACATAATCTTTATCAGTCTCATAATCAATTCCGTTTAGCGCATAATCAAACATGCACATAATCTATATTAGTCTCATAATCAATTCCATTCAGCGAATTATCAAACATACATATAATCTATATTAGTCTTATTGTATCATTTTAATGGAATAACTTTCATTGATATAAAATTTATTACACTTTTTTATATTTTTTTTCTCTCTTCCATAGCTTCTTTAAATTCTATCATGAATCTTAATATGATATCAAAAATTATGGTTTACGGTTTGAAAAGAGATTGGGCCCATTTATTTTGGTTTTTATTAAAAAAAATAGTTTTTATAGTATAACATATTTTAATATAAAAAAATTTTACAAAAATTTTTTTTATAAAACTTTTAAATAAAAATTTTGTTTGAATAGTTATTCTTAAAATGTTATTTTATGTATTTTATTATTTTATCAAATTTTTTTTTTGAATATTAAAATTTTAAAAAATCAATAAATTTTGAAGCTATTTCAAATAGCTTTTCATAAAAATAATTTTTGAGATATCATTTTTTTTAAAAATTATGATTTTGACTATGTTTTGATATTATAATATGTCAAAATTAGTCTTTTAATTTATAAAAAATTTGTAATATTTTGAAAAACATTTTTGTAGAATCTATTTTTTAAAATACAAAAAAAAATTAATTTTTTTAAAACTAAAACAAACTAGTCCATAATCGAGATGAGATCTTCTCCCTTTCTTTGCCTCTCCATTTTCTCCGTTACTATAGTTTTGTGTATAAATAACACACATTTCTAGGACATGTGGCATATAATTAATATTTAGTTGATTTTATATACATAAAAATTATAATAATGGAGAAAATGGAGAGGATCTTATCCCTCCATATTCCATACAATTTGAAGAAGAAAATCATCTTTTTCTTCTTTTCATTTTCCTTCCCCCAATCTCACACTTCCACAACCAACTTAGAATTTTTTTTTCTTCTTAATTAATTCTCCGTAAGGGTTGGTGGTATTGCTCAATGTAACGGCCTGGGGTTGTAATGTGAAGAGCCTTAAACCTCTTTCATCTCTTCAACCCACTGCCACCAAATTCACCACTTCATGAATCATTCTCTTTCACGTGGTTTACAAGTGTCCCGCTCATAATTAGTGTAATAATACTTAACAACTCAAGTATCAGTGGTGGTAAAACGGACGTCTGTCCCGCTCCACTCTGCTTTAAGTCTGTTAAAAAAAAGGTGGAGCGGACAAGTCTGCCAAATAAAAATGGGCATAAAAATCTAACTCGTCTACCAAGATGCTAGGTTGACGGGGAGCGGGTTTGCCCGCCTACTTTTTTTATTAATTTTTCAAATAGATTAATATGTTTGTTTTTACATTTTAATTAAATTTTTCACTCATTTTTTAGAATAATTTTTATAAAGCATCTTTTAAACAAATTTCACTTCAAAAAATATTGCATATATTCTCAAATAAATGTATAAAATAAAACCATCAAGAATTAAAATTATTAAATTTAACTAAAATAGACGGATTAAAGGTGGAACATGTTGAATGAATAGGTGCGGCAAGTTTTCACGGACGACAGGTTTTGACGTGGTGAATGGTGGTCTTTTGCGGGGCAGACTTTGGTGGACGACGGACCTAAAATCTCAACCCAACCCGTTATTCTTTGACGCGTGAGCGAGGCGGCCATGCAGGACACGACCCATTTTTCCACCCCTGTGTGGGATGAAGTAGTAGTAGAGGTAAAGTTTTTTTTAATATATATATATATATATATATATATATATATATATATATATATATATATATATATATATATATATATATATAATAAATTTTAATTATTTTTTTATTTTAGAAAGATTTATTTTGTCACATCAAGCATTATTCTAACGCTACGAATAATGAATTTTGAATAGAATGGACAAGATTCCAAGACACTTTTGTTGTTATTTATAGTTTTTACGATTAATTTATACTCTATTTGTATCAAAATGACTGTCGTTTAAGATTTTTGCACAAAAATTAAGAAATGTAATAATTTTTTTATAAAATATTACAATTTTACTAAATTAACTTTATTAATATGTTGGAAGTAGTGTAAAAGTACTCTCTTCGTCCCAAATTATAAGATGTTTTGGATATTTCACACAAATTAATAAATGCAATTATTATTGTACTAAAAAAGTGAAATGATCTATAACTTTACAAAAATGTCCTTCATTAATGACATTGAAAAGTGAAATTAAAAGAATAGGAAGAAGAAATAGTCATTAATGTTGTATTGAAACTCTAAAGTTACTTGTAATTTGGGACAAATATTTTTTTCTTTTTAAATGCTTATAACTTAGAACAGAGGTAGTAATAATTTACGGATATAATTGAAAAAATAGCAATCATTTCTAAATTGAAAAATGAGAATAGAAGTCATAAAGAAATAAATTATATTTGGTAAAATGACATTCAATTTGAAATGGAGAGTATCTTTTGTCCATGATGGTTAAGACTTCAAATGGACTTCTTTTATGGGTAGTTAAGTTTTTCTAGTTTACTTGTATCTTAAATAGTTGAGTGCTCTTGATATTGAAATTTCGTGCTTTATTGGCTTTATTTTTTCTTCTTCAAAGTGTTTAAGTTTTG